GAGCGACGACTGATATTTATATAATTTTATGTCAGTATCTGCTATATATACGGTTATAAAGACCTCATTGATTAACATTATAAGCAGCAGAATTTCATTATATAAATATCAGCATCTGCACCAAATTGCATATTTTTGCTCAGTTTGAGTCTCTGAATAAAACTCATGTTATAACACTCTTAAAAGTGTTCAGCTTAATTGTAGAGTCAGGAGGAGGATAACAAATGATCATGAAAAACTAAATGATGAAGGAAACCTTGAACAGCATTACTGCTTCATGGGACAGAACAAACTGCCAGGAAAGTAGAAGAGACGGAGAATAAGAACGAGTGGAGAACATTGGATTACATAAGCACTGGGATGACAAGCATCTGAATGCCGAGTCTGTGTTTACTGTAATCTGACAGTCTAAACATTCACACAGCGTGTGTATCCTGCAGCCTTTGATTGGTCTGAGAAAGAGACAGAAATGTCAGAAATCCCTTAAAGACATCTGTGCCCGCAGCACCGGCGGTGTGATGAGGCAGAGCTTGTGACTGGTGAATAAAGTGGATCGCCCAGGCGGCGGGTCAGACCGCTCCATTCAGCCCAGCACAAGCAGCCTTTATATGGCCGAGAGCAGCTGCAGCCTCTGATGACAGTAGACCACACAAACACACACAACATACTCAGATCAGCCATTCAAAGAGGGACAGATGAGTGCTGCAGACAGAACAGGGTGTTGTGAAACCACTGTCAGATGACACGAGAACAAAAAGATCAGCCAGATGTACAGGAACACACACAAACCTCTACAGGGTCAGTGATTTCAGCTTAAGCCACTAATGAAGCAGTGCCAGTGGTAAAGAAAGTAGTGTGACAAAACAATTAGTATACTTTAATATACTACTATTGTACAGTAGAATGTGCTTCAATTTTGGGGGAAAAAATTTATGGATTTCAAAGGGCCCTACATTGCTTAATGTTTTATTTTGAAAATGAAACAAAGCCTTACATTTCTATTTGTTGTTGTGTCGCTTCATACTCATATGGGTTAATTTGACGATACCGTGGAACATTAGCCGAGACAGATCCTAACTGGGCTTGAATAGTTGAGGCAGTCCTGGGAGAGCCTAGGAAAAGCACTTCAGTTTAGATTCCCTTGCTATACAGGCTTTAATGTTCTCCAAAGATTCAAACCATACTCGCAACAGTACCATTACTGCCAGGGTTTATTGGAGAGTAACTGAGTATCATCGGCATATCAAGGCGAAACAGCTGAAATTAAATTTCTGAAACACTGAGCTCAGGAGAAACATATAGCGTGTAAACAGCAGAGGTACTAAAACAGAGCCCTGAGGAACCCCGCAGTCTAGGAGGGCTGAAGGCAAAAAAAATTCCTCTACCTGCACTGCAAAATTCCTACCACTTAATTAGGAGGCGAACTATAGTTATAGCTATGCCCTGAACACCAACACAGTTCTGTTATCGATCTAGAACAACTGTATGGTCAATGGTGTCAAATGTTGCACTCTGATCCAATAATACCAAAATGGCACAGACCTGGATCAAGAGAAAGGAGAATGTCTAAAGCCAGACGAAAGCAATCAAGAAGGATAAATTAGGTACGATATGAATACAACTGCTGTAATTGTCAATGGCAACTTCGAGAGTCTATAATTGGCCAATACCGCAAGATCAATATGTGCTTTTTTAGGTAAAGGTTTCAGAACTGCATGTTTTAAAAAAATGAAAACGTTACGGTACCAGGTTTGTTTAAGTACCGGTGGTACCGAGTACCCGATCAACCCGGTTCTTGATGCGCTATCCAAAAGGTGCACAGATGCGCTCTCTTCATAAAAGCACTGAGACGTGGCGACATCAATACGAGGAAACACACCAAACTAACAAAACACTTTAAAGACACCCAGATCAAATGAAAGAGTTCAAGCAGGTAAGTTTCATTTTAACTTTTAATATTTAGATCTTGTGTTTCCTATATATTGATTTATTTGTGGTGCCCGCCACAATATCAAAACTGACCGCCACAAATAGATTTTCCAAAAGGCTTTGACTTCGTTGAATAAACATGAGCACTGCACATGTCACAGTCGAAACCCGCTGCGGGTGTTTTTATATCACTGTATTTCTGAAGGAAACCGACTGTCTTCAGAAAATTATGGATGTCATTTTCATTTCATCTTGCCTGTAATGCCTGAGCAGCGTTTGTGAGCGGAGCGCTGCTTTGTGTACAGTGCTACCGGGGAAACCTTGATCTCTGCCGCTCTACAAGCGCCTCCTGCTGGCAGAGAATGAGTTTGCATATATATGCCGCCACAAATAGAGTGCAAGTCTGTGGGAAACAATGCTTCTGTTATGAATATTATTCAAGTATTTAAATTTATTTTTACACACCAGAGGCTTTTAAATGAATTGTGAATCTAAAATATGCGTGTTAGAGAATGTACACATGGTTAACATTGTTTGTGTCATATCAGTCAGAAGTTCTGGGCTTTTTTTTTTTAAACTAACTTAGTTGTTATTCTTGGCTGAATAGCTTTAGGTTTTCAAAAGCCCTTTAAAATTAAATATGTACACAGTTTGGATTAAATGAATGTAGTCAAATTTTTTAATTAGCATGTTTTTGTGTTTTGCTTTGGTACCGAGAACCGTGGATTTTCACTGGTATTGGTACCGAATACTGAAATTTTGGTACCGTGACAACACTAGTGTTCACTATATAAAACACAAATCTTTACAGAGGCATTTGGGAAAGACAGCCAAACTATAGCTTGAGCATTTCACTTTTGCAACATGTTCACTAAGATGGGATGATGATACTGGTTGAAAGTGGTCAAAGCAACCTTATACTGATGGAGAAGAAAAGTTTGACGTCAAAACAGAAGCCTTCATTTTCTGTATTTACTGAATAAAAAATTGGAGGAACTTTTGACAGGATTCAGATGAGCAGCCAAAGTATGATATATAACAGACGATGGTTTTAAACAATATTTTCAGGCTATTTGCATTTTCTGAAATTACTATATGACGTTTGATTTTAAATTCCACATGAATTCTGGAGTGTATCATTTTTCCATCACTGTATTCAGGTTTACAGACAGTGTGCAGTGTCATTTACCACCAGGTGGGTAGAGGTCTTATCCTTAAAGTCTCAGTCACAAATAGGAAATCTAATGCTTATGTAAAAAAAGTCACATAAGACAAACAATTTGTTTGATTTCGACCTTGCAATCATTAACGCCAACTTAATGGTTAGTGGCTCAGAGGATATTACAGATGAAGAACAGTATCTGAATGAATGAAGTATCTCACAGTTGCTGCAGTGAGTTTCTGTACCCTGAGCAGGGTGACAAGATGAAAACTAATGTATCAGAATGAGGGACTCGTCATCAGCAATGCCTGATTGTTGACTGAGCACACAACAATGTGATCCACAATGGACATAGCGAGAACGGTGAGCGATTCTGTTTGTAAACTCCAGTTGAGAGCCAATATGAAGACTTTAGACAGTAAAGATTCAATGTAGAATAGTAAAAGCCCATAGTTCTTCTCCCACTACTAGTAGGTAGCTATGTTTTGCTAGTAGCTTGTTTAGTGTGGTGAATGACTTAATCAAAAGGGCAGACTTTAGCTTTACTACTTCAAATTAAGAGAGGAAAAAGGAGCTTCACTAACACTGATAATAATGTGAATGTGAAACCAGTTGAATCCCCGTTCAGACACACCACAGAAAGCCCTGACAGAAGGTATTACCAGCTTAAAGAGAGAACGCCTACTTTCTTAAATGCAGTGTTAATTTAGTTGACGAATCATTTTCGCCAACGACATTTTTTCACCGACGACAATGAGACTATAACGAACTAAAACTCTTTTTGAATGACAAACACTATGACGAAAATTTATTGACATTTTCGCCAATGAATAAAAACGAGACGAAAATGTTAGGGAGGGACGATTTGGGATGAGATTCATTCAGAAGGAATCTGCTGCGTGGTTCGGAGGCTAGATGCGTACATATGAACCGGCGGGACATAAGCTAACATACAATTGCTGCACGTCGCATAAAACGTTAAAAAATGTCAATATGTGGGAGTAAGAGAAGAGCAGACATATGGATACATCTGACGACGCAAGAGAGAACTCAGTTCGGTCCGGTTTTCTGAGCGCAGACACTGAAGCACACACACAGAAAGCGCCTCTTACAGCGTGCGATTACTCTTTCACATCACATTAATGGAGAATTACACACAAAATTATGTTGAATTGTCTGTTTTGACGAGTATTCACGTAAACACAGTTGATTACGTCTTAGCGTGTATCAGTACATTGCATCCATTGCAGCTGTGCATTCGGCAACAAAAGAAAGACAGAAAATCACGCACTGCTCTTGACTGAAAAAGATGAATCAAGTTATTTACAGAAATAAATAATATGGTAAACAAGTTGCTATAAAGAATGCATAATTAGCCTAAATAACCATTGATATTTCTTTAAAAAGAAGACCATGTTCTTGTTCTTTATGAGAAGTGGTTTTATTTCATTTTAACATAAAGGCATGTTGTGTGTCACCGCAGCTAAATCGGTGTCTATCATGATAAAACCTTTATATCAAACCTATATAATGAGTTTTGAAATGTTAGAGAAATGCTTAATAAATGCATTACACTGTAACTAAACCCATTAGATTTTAGCCGACTAAATTTACTGTAGATTTAGTCAACTAAAATCGTATGATATTTAGTCGACTAAAACTAAAAACAATTAATATGACTAAAATATGACTAAAACTAAATGGCATTTTAGTCAAAAGACTATGACTAAAACTAAATCAAAATTTGCTGTCAAAATGAACACTGCTTAAATGGATAAAACGGAAACCATTCGATATTCAGAACATCCTGAGAAGAACAGGATCTGGATGGATGAATCGTACTCTATAAATCACCAAGCTCAAAAAGTGAGGTGTACTGAAACAGGTGGAGAGAACGTGAGTGGCGCACCTGAAGCCGATCTGGTTGATGTGGTCCGTCTCCAGCAGCATCTTCCACAGCAGACACAGGAAGAGAGGCGGCGAGCCCTGCATGGAGAAGTGTGTGATAATGTCGTTCTCAACGGTCATAGACTTCCACTTCCTGTACTCCTCCTCCACGTTCTTCTTCAGGTTAAAGCGGCTCTCCTGTGGAACGTTATTCTGCTTGAAGAACGCCTGGGAAATTAACACGAGAGAAGTGAAGTTACTACGAACCTGATTGAAGGCCCACCAAGAACTATACAGACATCTATAACAATAACTATATTAGCATCCATCCACACATCACAGATGATAACAATTCTGTTTATTATAAGTGTGCACTGCAGCTTTAAATGCTCCAGCTCTCTAAAGTCGATCAGCTGGAAAAATCATGCTAAAAGTGATTCCAATGATATTGTTCCTCTGTGTCGTTATCGTTATAGTTGTGCCGTGGAACGTCTTTGGTGTTAAGCATCATTGAGGAATCATAGGGAATCATAGGGAAAGCGCATCTATTAGCTTTGCAAGTCTTCAATTTGCTGTGTCAGACACAGTGACAGGATAAATGAGGCTATTCAGTGCTAACAAACATCTGTTTGACACAGAGGATCCTTTACTGTGTTTATACATGTCTCTGGGAGTATATGATAACTGCAAATTTAATTGAATGCAGCAGAAGTACCATATGAGCACTATAAAGTAATAACATAATCCCAACATAAACCAAGTCCTCATGTTCCCTATTCAGAAAGCTTTTAAACAACAGAAGATTCCTCGGTGGATGTCCAGAAGCACTCCATTTCTTACCCATGTTACAGATCCAAAAATCATGAGAAATGACATTGGGTATAAAGAAAATAGAGCCAATTTTACAGTTCAATTTCCTAATCACGGTGCCTCCAGAGCCAAAAATATACTATATATGAATATACTAATTAGGGCTGTCAGCATTAATGTGTGCAAGTAATTCAAAATCATCCATCCATCCAGTGTGAAATTAATTGCCAACTAATGACGTTTACACATTAAAATGAATTGTGCTCTGTCAGTTTTGCCAATAAAAAATTCTGAAATAGTTTTATATAATTATTATAGTTCCAATTTGAACACTTGGTAGTCTATTATAATACCTAAAACAGGATACATGGTGTGTGACATTAATTGCAATTAAAGTGTGAGAATAATCATCGCTCTGATACTAAAACTGGGTTTTATGTATTGGCTAAATTTTGTCATTAGCAGGTTACGCATTGTACAGCTGCAGTCAGATTTTTTTTAAGACCATGCATACTATGTATGCATTAGTCTGTGCATGAGCCTAGAATTATAGTGTCAAACTCTTTCAGTGTGCATGTTTTGACTGCCTTTTGAGTTCGTACATGCGGTCAAATGGAGTACACATTCAAAGGAGAGCATAACTTTGTGCAAAAAGTATATATTGGGCTAGAACGATGTACCAAGTATTTACTGAACCAAACCCATGAACTGTAATAGATTCAACTAAAAGATTAGTTCAGCCAAAAACGAAAACTAGCTAAAAATGTGCTCACCCTCAGGCCATCCAAGATGTAGGTGAGTTTGTTTCTTTATTTAGCATTGCTCTGAAGATTCAGTGAATGAGCTGTCAGACTGATTCAGGCAGGTGATTTGTGAGTGCAAGACTGACTCATTAAAAAAAGATGACTTTGTAATCACTGGTTTATGTCTATTGTTGTATGCAAGTAGTGAAGACAAGGCAACACCAAGTGCTGTAGTCCAATCATTGTTTATTAATTGCAGTTGCAAGTCCTTCATGATATTACATTGAGAGTGCAAGATCTCAAGCCAGATGAAGTCTCCTGTTTTTACCAGTAGGTGTGAGAAACACTGTACAGTTATGAGTGTGTGTGTGTGTGAGTGAGAGAGAGAGAGAGAGAGAGAGAGTGTGTGTGTGTGTGTGTGTGTGTGTGAGAGAGAGAGAGAGAGAGAGAGAGAGAGAGAGAGAGAGAGAGAGAGAGAAATAAAGCACTCTTAAATTGAAATTGAATTGAGAGAGAGTGTGTGTGTGTGTGTGTGAGAGAGAGAGAGAGAGAGAGAGTGTGTGTGTGTGTGTGTGTGTGTACACGTTTTTGTGACAAATGAGGACACAAATTTGTATAATGACAAAGGTATGACGTAGGTATTACAAGGAGAAGGTGACTTATAAGGACATTACACCATGTCCCCATTTTTCAAAATGCTTATAAATCACACACAGTGAGTTTTTTTTGAGAAAGTAAGGGTAGTTTCCTGGGAGGGGTAGGTTTAGGTGTAGGGTTGGTGTAGGGTGAAAGCACATACAGTTTGTACAGTATAAAAACCATTACACCTATGGAATGTCCCCAACAATTCATAAAAACAAACGTGTGTGTGTGTGAGTGAGTGAGAGAGAGTGAGTGTGTTTGAGTCTGTGTGTGCGTGTGAGTGAGTCTGTGTGTGTGTGTGTGTGTGTGTGTGTGTGTGTGTGTGTGCGTGCATGCGGGTGA